AGGAAGCCGTTCTATTGCAGCCCCTTTGAAGCACCCGTCGGTTAATTAAACTACGTACCTATATTTTTGTTAAGAGAAATTGTAAAATACTATAAGGCTACACACGCCCTGATTTTTGTTACCGTAACTTATTATTCTTATAATGCGACGGGAGACACAAGGTCACTTTTATAAAAAATCAATAGTGCATGCACTCACGCGTGCCAGTGTACGGAATTGTATACTTTTCTTATCTAGATTATACGATTACAAAGGAAGATTTGTGTAATGTTTATAAAGACGAAATCATTCGTAAAAATGTCATAGTAAGACAAAGTTGAATTTCAAAATTAAGAAAAGACATGGAAATTCTCGTAAACATTGCTGTTGCCACTGCAGAAACATTATTTAATTGAGGCATGTACAAACCTTAATAAATGTTCATAGTCTTCTAGTATGTAAATACTCATTTATGATTTGGTTAATCACAATACACACTTCTATCGCAACTATTAACTTCATAGAGAAAGTAACCAAATATAGAATATATTACCGTACCGTATCGTATACTAAAATCATATAATTAATTGTCGCGAATAAGCGAAAATTTCTGAATAGTCAATAACTCCATTCATATGTTTGCGAATTTTTAATTCTTGGCGATTTTTTTTCGATTATAAGGAATAGTTTAGGAAATATTTCGTATTAGGGATAATATTCCATATTTGGTTACTTTCCTCTACTACCGAGCTGGATATGATAGCACCAACTTTTATTATTTAATGTATGTATTATTTGAAAGTAAAATGGTATATCAAAAATGTTAATTAAAGTAGGAACAAATATAAGATGTACTGTACATCAACATTTCTTTTTTCATATATTATATTGATTATGATCCAATCGAGTGTCTTCTCATCATCACGGAAAAGTCGAAAGCTTTCACGATGCGCGGGAAATGATGCGACACTGATGTGAACATCTCGATCGCTGCTGCGCCTTTTACCGTGTCACCTAAGGGGATTATTTATGCTTCGCTCCGCACTACGAGGATGATGACTGAAATTATTTTCATCTCCCGTGCCGCGCGTCGGGAATTAGAATCGCTGCGACTGAATGTTTGTTTATTTTCCGTGTGTAACTCCCCTTTGATCGTCGTCGTGCGCGAATGGCGCTTGATTACTGTCGATGCTAACAGTAGAGTTAAATGTTAGTTATTTAGAATATTCCTTGTTTTACAGAATTTTACTGTTATTTAATAAATAAATAAAGTTAATTCAATTAACTTAATTTCTCGATGTTTTATTATTTTTATTCAATTCAAATAACTATATGAGATCTAAAAACTACAATTTCATTACGTTTGACTATTCTAGAAAACTATGGAAAATATTGATGTGTCATTTTTTACTTCACGGTAATATAAACGAACAGCTGCATCTGCAGTCGTTAATACCCACCAATCCGCACTGGGCACGCGTGATGGGTCACAGCCAATTCTCCCTATTCGATACCATCGATAGGGAAGACCTGAGTCACGGCAGTGGGGTCACAACATTAATAGATTACTGATGATTCTACATATTCGTTAAGTAGATATTATATAGGATACCACATTATAAAGATTGCCGATAACATATACACATTTTAGTGCTACAGACAAACAAATAGACGGACATGGAAAAAATAAAACAAAAATATTTAGATACTTTAATTATCAGAGCAAAAGGATTCATAGGAAATATTCAATGATATTTTCCATGGGTCGCACGCCGAAAATTGCAGAAGATTAAGCTAATACACCGCGTAACCATCGTATTAGGTAATAATATCGATAAGAAAATGCTACGCTGGCATATATTGGTGGTACCTCCAGTGAGCCGAAAGCGCATTAACGCTTGGCCCGACGCGTATTGTCAAAACACTGTGTGCTCGCATGATAGCGACGTTAAATCTGTAAAGTATACAATAGGAATGATACCTGGATAATAATAAAAAATCTAATAGTCCGCCAGTCAGATAATTAAAAAATATTAGTGAAATATTATTTTGCTTAAATTTTAGAAGAAATGACTTAGGTAATATGTATTGAAGTTGTAGACTGCTCATTATGTCTATCTGTCAGCTATGTAGAAAATGTACACAGGCATGATGTCTTGCAACATTTCAACTCAATGTACTGCTGTTATGATTTTAAATTTTATATCTTAAGTTTAACGATTTTAAATATTATATTTGACACATATTAAATTTTCAAGTTATACCTGGATTTCTTTACAAGAATAGAAATCGCCTAAATAATACATACTATCTTTCATCCGCCACTTCGTCCACAAGATTATTGCTTTTAATGTCGAATCTCCATACAAATTTTTATCCCCTATTTGGACACCTTTTTACCCAATCAAAACTAACCTGTATCCCGGTTCAGTGGTTTATGCGTGAATCGTTAACAGGCAGACGGAAATATCCTCTCATTTATAATGTAACAAGAAATGTTAAACGCAATAGAGTTTTCACCAGTATACTTGACATGAATTTTGTATAATTATTATTGATTTCAATTAACACATTTCCATTAAATAGCAAAACATTAAATATACAGACATCAAAACTGCTGAAACAATGTAACCTCAATACTAAATATTAACCTTATTATAAGTTTTAACAATTTTTTTTTACAGTAAACTTAATTATAAAAATAGAAGTTGTCCATGCACGTTTTTAATGAAACACATTAGAATAATAATAAAAATAAAATAAAATAGATTATCTAAATACTTCATTTCACGTCATCTTATTATAACCTGTATCGTTTCAAAATATGCAGCCTCTGACACATGAGATTTTTCTTATCCTCGAGAGCGACTCGCCGCGTCGCTCGAAACGTCAAATGACGCGGAAAAGACGCCGGATGAAGCCCTTGATCACAGAATATAAGTCCCCACATGTACTTGCCCCACTTTATTGCTCTATTTCCTAAATTATATACTAATAATACAACGTATACCTAATTGTTATCTTTATAGGTACCTAATATATATAATGTATGTAAGTGGTATGGGATGCAGCATAGTATAGTTTGTATTATAAAATGTTCTAAAAAATTATACTAATTATTTATTAGGTTTTGAAGGTGACTTAATAATTTTGAAGTAATTTTTCAGTAGATTAATATTGTCTGTATGGTATAAAATACCATACATATAAAATAGGAAAAACAGATCACACTAAATCTTCTTCTTCAAATCTTTCTAAGATTCACTACGGTTATTCCCCATATAAGAGTTCTGAAATCTCCGCGGACACCGCAATATAATTTTTAAGTGTATTTTACGGAGATTCCTCCAATTTTATAGCTATCCTTCACACCATCCGTTGATTCTACAGATATTACATCTCAATATTAAGCATTATACGACTTGCAAATCTAAATTAGCTACCAATATAACACAGCAAAGTAGCGAACAGAAAATTGTCAACATCTCAGGTGCCTTATAAAATTAATAAGTCATTTAGGCACCCGTGCTATTATATAAAACAGACCGATATAGACGAAAACAGACTCTTTGGTCCCAGCCGGTGTTATCCTGTCTTCCCGGCCGTTGCGCGGCACTAATGTCCAATATAACACTCATTGTGCCCTAATACGCAGTAACGAAGCCATCCTTTCCCCTTTGTCTGTTGCTCGAGCCCTTCTTTGGATTAGGGTTGCTACCGACGATTGGGCTATTCACGTAATGAATCTTTGTTCGTATCTTAAAATCAGGTTAATGAAATATTTAGACATACAATGAATATTCGACTTTTTACATTTTTTCGTATTATGTTATTAAAATACTAGTACCCTAACATCACTAAAAACAAAATTGAAATAATTGACATTATTTATTGTCTCAACGTATGAATTTCAACAATTAAGAATTTAAGAAACAAAAGCAATTAGGTAACTTATGACGCTATTTATTTTGTGTTGAATAATATTTCCAGAAATAATTTATAACAAATATAAACAATGTATTTTTTTTCATTTGCATCGCCAAAAGATATATTTACAAATATAATACTTCTTTGTCAATTTCGTGATAGATATAGGATTCAGATTTATTTCACAAACAATGGAACGATATACGAACGAAAACAACATCACCAACCCTATTAAAGTTAATGGTGACACGTCATTTTTCCCTTATCAGTTATATGTTACAGTTGCTTATGAATGCACACATTACGTTCATGACAATATATTTACCAAAATATGAGTATGTTATACGCTATGATAAACGTAAAGCTATAGAGATTAAATAAAGCGTTTCAAATCTTATAGGGCAAAAGATTCGGTTTTGGCCACTGGTCCCTTCTTGGCTATTTGGCAATTCAAAGTATTTTAACTAGCGCCTAGGCAAATATATTACCCCACCGTGAACGATTTATAAATGTTACATTATGATAAAACTAATATTTTTGACAGCCGTGATGTATCTAAAGTTCACTTCCTCATAACTCTTAAAAATGGCCAAGACCAGGTGGAAATCTGAAGGTGCAAGGTAAGGAGTATACAGCGGATGCATTAACCAGCCAACTTCTCTTAATTTTTACTGAGATGTAAAAGATGTGAGGTCTAGCGTTATCATGATGAACAACACCCCTTATATCGATTAATTCTGGCAGTTTTCTCTCAACTTCTTGCTTTAATCTCATCAGTTGTTCGCAGTAGAGTTCAGAATCGATACTCTTCCAATCCCACCATATACACATTATAATCTTGCTGCGAGTTAACCCGGGTTTCACCACTGTCTGTGAAGCGTGGCCGACCTTTGACTACATGATTTTTGAAATGTGTATTTTCTTAAACCAAATTTTTGCTATTCTCACAGAAATTGCTCTAGGTTCATAAACATCAAAAATTTTTTTCACGGCTTGCGTTGCATTTTTACCTTTATTGTAATGAAATTTTAAAATGTGTCGAATTTCTACTTTAGGTTTTTTTGGGCGGTAGGCAAAAAAACGCAAAAGTTCTTCTCCTGATTTAATTTTGCTTAAAATTAAGAACAATAGTTTTTTTCTAATAAAAAGTTATTTAAATAAAGGAACAACTTACATTTCATATCATAAAGCGTGGGCAACTTTTCTGGATGTGTATTTAGACACCAATCCAACACATTCCTGGCACTACATTTGTACTCACTATAGTACATAGCTGTCTCTTCTGTTTACCACTATCGTACATCATGGCTAATGTTGCGGCAGTGATGGAAACTCAAAAGTGTCTGGAGTCAATGCTACTGAAGAAGATGAATGAAATGGAATCTCAACTAAAGTCAGTTTCTCCCAAGCAAGATATGGATAGAATCTCTCAGATTGAGGGTGAATTCAGAAGTTTCAAGGATCTTGTTTACACCACCTTCTCTCTACTGCGTCAGCAAATCAGTGAGATCCTTAGATCTCTTGATGAGACTGAAATGAGGCATCGTCAGAAGTCGCTTCTTTTGAGTGGAGTCGCCGAGAGATCTGATGAAGACTTGTTTGCAACAACTATTTCCCTCTTCCAGAGACATCTTGGACTCTCAGATATTAACGACATAATAAAAAGATGTTACAGGTTGAGTCGTTATAGTGAGGGTCATGTACGTCCCATTGTTGTCCAATTTTCAAACCAAACATGCAGATCAACAGTTTGGAAGAACAAGACAAAATTGAAAGGCTCTTCTATGGTTTTGCATGAGTTTTTAACGAAGAATCGTCAAGTCATATTCAAATCAGCAAGGGATCATTTTGGCATGACTAAGGTTTGGACTTTAAATGGCAGTATATACATCTTAACTCCAGATGGCAACAGGGTACGGCTTACATCAAGTGATGAGCTGGATAAGATCAAGAAGCAGTTTCCAAAACCACCGACTAGTACATCAACAACAACTCAAGCTTCTAATCTCAAACTAGTGCAATCTCGATCAAGAAGAGTGAATAAGAAAACTTAAGTCTCAAACTGTCTTCTAACTGCTCTTGAATTAATAGCTAAGTATTATTTAACCCCGAGTATTTGTATGTACACTTTGAAGTATTTGCCACAATAGTATAACTTCCTATTGTTTAGTTTCATTGCATTCATACTATATTGTATTGTTTTGTCGATTCTTAACATAGCAATGATAATTCCAATACAATCCATCTTAAAAATGTTGATGGTAGTTCGGTAACTTTAAACTTCTTTTCTGTAATACACTTTTTGTACTTTTCTTCATTTTTACGAGCACTATGCAGGTACTTTCATAACTTTTCATGGTAACATTAATATTTCAGTTTGTTTGTTAATTTTACAACTTTTATTAAATGCAATGACAATGACAGTTCAGTGATTTGACAGCTTCGTTGTATCTATTCTTTTGTACAAGCAAAGGCATATTATCTGTACAGCCATTAATTGTGTTTGAAATTTATATGTATAGTTATGTGTGAACAGTCTGCTTGCAGGATGTGTGGATTGCGGTGTAATGAATATTGTTGATTGGTAGTGATATTGTTTTATAGTTTATTTATTGTTACGTCTACATATTTTTATATATTAAATTTATTATTATACAGAATGTCGGATGTGGAAAGTTGCGTCTCTGCTAGTGAAAATTCATCTTACCATTCCCTCGATGACTCATTGGATCTGTGCATTTCTCTAACGCGTGAATTTGGTCAGTGTCATGACACATTTAATACTTGTCACATTAACGCACAGAGTATTCCTAGGCATTACTCCGACTTACTTCATACCTTTTCTAGCAACACGGTTCATGCCGTGCTGGTGTCAGAAAGTTGGCTTAAGCCGTGTTTAACTTCTATGTCCTATGAGCTCCCAGGCTACAGTCTTATTCGAAATGACCGTATGGATAGGAGCGGTGGAGGGGTAGCTATTTATCTGTCAAGTTCTCTTTCCTACAAACTCTTAAGTTCCTCCTCCTCTCGTTCTGGCTATATGGAATATCTTTTCCTTGAAGTCGACATTTTGGGTGTCAAGGTTGTCCTGGGAGTAATATACTGTCCACCTTCTATTGACTTTCTTAATGATTTAGATTCTCTTCTCAATTCAGTTGCTACTGACTATACTCATCACATTATCATGGGAGACTTTAATACTGACCTTTTAAGAGACTCTGTTTCTTCTCGCAAGTTACGATCCTTAGTAGAGTCGGTGAACCTCACGATTCTTCCTCTTGACCCCACTCATCATAATCTCACCACCTCGGACTCGTGGATCGATCATATTTACATATCTTCTGCAGAAAATGTCTCTATACACGGTCAATTGCCTGCGCCTGGCTTCTCTAGGCACGATCTCATATTTGTGGCTTATAAAGCAAAACTTCCTAAACCCAAACCCCTCTTAGTACAGATGCGCAATTTCACAAGGCTTGATATTGGTAAACTTAGAGATGACGCTTGTGCCGTTGATTGGACGCCTATTAGTGAAGCTACTTGTGTTGATAATATGGTAGGTCAATTTAATGATTGTGTGTTACAGCTTTTTGATAAACACTCGCCTAAAAAGTACGTCAAACTGAGACGGCCACCTGCGCCATGGATCACCCATGGTGTACGTATGGCCATGAGAAGGCGTAACAAGTTGTTTCGTGTTTTTAAAAGATGTCGTACTGACTTCAATTGGAACGCTTTTAAAACTGCTAGAAATCATTGCAATGGGATGGTAAGAGCAGCAAAACGCCAATATATTCATAACAACATTTTAAATTCCAATATTGCCGATGCTTGGAAGTTTCTTCGTTCGTTGGGCTTTGGTAAGACGGCTCCTCAGTGTGGTTATTCATGCTCGTCGGAAGAACTAAACAAACATTTCTCATCTGTAACCCCGATTTCTAATTCCATTATTAAATCCACCGTTTCTTCCATAAAGTCCACGGCACCCTCTAGTTCTGAACCGTTTTTTTTCAGCCCTTTGTCTGAGGAGACTGTCCGTAAGGTAATTTGGTCCATCAAATCCAACGCCGTGGGTAGTGATGACATTGGTAGAACAATGATCGTTCTCATCCTAGAATGTATTCTCCCGGTTCTTACCTTTATTCTTAACTACTCACTTTCCTCTGGCAAATTTCCCTCCATTTGGCAAAAAGCTTTCACTATTCCTTTACCTAAAGTTTCTAATCCTTCTACTCCAAATCACTTTCGTCCTATTTCCATACTACCTTTCCTCTCCAAGATTCTGGAAGCTGCTGTCCATAGTCAACTCTCATCTTATGTAGCTCGACTGCAGATTTTGAGTCCTTTCCAGTCCGGGTTTCGACCTGGACATAGTACAACTACAGCTCTTCTTAATATCTTGGAAGATATCCGTAATGGTATGGAGCAATCGCAACTCACTGTTATGGTTTTGATCGATTTCTCTAATGCCTTCAACTCGGTTAACCATGATATCCTTCTTGCTATCCTTTCGCAAACCGGTCTTTCTTCCACAGCTCAGGCATGGTTTTCGTCATATCTTCGGGGGCGCCGGCAGGCTGTCCGGACCAATCATAGCACTTCTGATTGGCGTGACTTATCTGCCGGCGTTCCACAGGGCGGCATATTATCTCCACTTCTGTTCACATTATTTATTAACTGTCTTACTTCTCGTCTTCGCTCATCTTATCATCTCTATGCAGACGATCTTCAAATATATGCTCAAGCAGACAAAAGCAACATCAACGATGCTATTTTGAGCCTTAATCAGGATCTCATTACTATTTTGGAGTGGTCCAACTGTTACGGTGTGACCGTTAATACATCTAAGTGCCAAAGTATAGTTATTGGTAGTTCACGCCAGCAGTCAGCTATTGATAGAAATTGCATTGCGCCCATACGATATAACGGTGAAATTATTCCGTTTCAGGCCAGTGTAAAAAATCTGGGCCTGCACATCGATTGTACTCTTAGCTGGGAGGTGCAGATTGGTGAAGTGTGCCGAAAAGTAGTCAACACGCTTAGATCTCTTTATAGACTCAAATTTTTTCTCCCATTCAGCACTAAAATCGCACTGGTACAGACACTCATTTTACCTATCCTCGACTACGCTGACGTCTGCTATTCTGACACCAATCAATATCTTCTCAACAAATTGGATCGTCTTCTCAATAATGCTATTCGTTTTATATATGGCCTTCGTAAATACGACCATATCTCTGATTTCAGGAGGCAACTCGGTTGGCTGACTATCTTTCAACGCAGAGACCTACGAATTCTGTGTATGCTTTATAAAATTTTATTCGATCCATGTACCCCAGGATATTTGAAATCTAGGTTTCGTTATCTTGGTTCCGGTCATGAGCGTAATCTTCGCTCTAGTAGCAACCTCATTCTTCAAACCCCCTTTCATCATACTTCATTTATTTCTAATTCCTTTACCCTCACAGCTATTCGCCTTTGGAATGCTCTTCCGTTTCGCATTAGAAATGCTCAGAGTAAGGTGATATTCAGGAAATTGGTGCGTGAGCACTATCTCGGACTGTAATTGTATCGTTCGCATTCTGTATGTTATTTATGTGTATGTATGTGTAATTAGTATTTATGTAATTATTCAATATTTTTATTTATATATTTTTAATTTGTATTTTTTTTTACTGGATATATCAATCTTTATCGCCTAACATGCAAATCCAACATTCGCTCAGGTTGACTGGTAGAGAATGCCCTTGGCATTAAGTCCGCCATTTGTATTATTTTTATTTAATGCAATAAAGAGTAAATAAATAAAATAAATAAATAAATTCACTCATTTTGACTGTAAGAAAAACATTTTCCTTATTTAAATTCGAAGTTATCTTCTTTAAAATTTAAACTTTTTAATAATACCGAAACCAGCCAGATACAAATAGTTTAGCCAGAAATATTCTATTACAAGTTTATGGATACTATATGCGAAAAGACTTTTCCCCAACCTAATATATTATATAATGATACATGTATACAATAAAACAGAAGTTTTAAGCGTACGCCAATCCTACATCTTGATATGTCTAACTCGCTACCACAAGACAGCACCTTTAAATATCAACAAAAGAAATAATTTATTTAAATTACCGTTAGTTAAGAGTGTTTTTGCCAAACGTCACTATAATTTCCAAGATCCTCGTCTTTATAATAAATTCATCAAGGCTGTCAAAATCCAAACGGCTAACCCTTACTTCATTAAAGCAGGAATATTTAAAAGCCTAAAAGATTTCGATGAAAAACTAGTCTTGGTTTTGAAAAAAAATGTAATGTAATCCAATGATATAGGTACTCACTATACTCACTCAAACATACAAAATACAGACAGCGCGTGCGCGTGCACACACCCACACTCACACATACTCACACACACGCACACACACACACACACACACACACACACACACACACACACACACACACACACACACACAAACACACACACACACGCGCGCACATACACACACACATACACAAAATGATATACACTTAGAAAGCGCTGACTCCTGACATACAGGGCAACCTAATTTGGGAGACAAGGCAAATTAAGTAAGTAAGGACCGTCTCAGAGTAGAACAAAACTCGTAGTTATATTAGAAAAGTAATAAGAAGATAGATCTAGGAGATTTTAATAACGTTATAGTAATTGTTATCTCTGCAAATCCTAAGATCTCGAGCAATCGAGTACACCGTAATCGATAAAAAAGAGTCACAAACATGCTCCCCCAAAATGAACACAAGATATAAATCTGGTGTTCTAATAACATGCGGTGGATTTCTCAACGGGCCGTTTTATTTCGCGGCACAAAGCCTTCGACCCAGTAAATCCGACGATATCTGGGAAATGCGACAGTGTGCCACAGGCGTTCGTTTTGGGACGCACTTTAAATTTTCCGACTGCTAAAGGACGGATATCGCTGTGAAATTTAAAACGGCGACGGGGTGGAGACAAAAGTGTACGAACGGTTAGTGTCGGGGCTAAAATACTATCTGTGGAGAGATTTGAATTAAGAAACAAAGCTGAATTGTATATCCATTTTTACGCTCCCGTCCGTTGTGCCTTCGGTTTGAAGCGTTCCTTTACAGTCTGCTGGCGTTTCATTTGTTTTTATTTCAATCGTACGTATACTGTGTATTCAGACCGCAAAGCAAATTAAAAAATAAACATTGCTTTTTCGTGCTTTCCAACATTTACAATCTTTGCTATAAATAGACTGCAAGATTATAAACATTTCTACACTTACAGTCTCATTTTATTTTTTACGATTACGAAATTACGATTACACATGTGAGGTGAGCCTCTTCAAATGAAATCATTAATGGAAAATCATAAATAATAATTTAGGCAATAGCTACATGCTTACAGCAAATAAAGTGACTGCGTCTTACCTCGAACAACATAAT